GCTTCTTTAAATATTTTTGTATACCCTTCCAACTCTCCTGTCCTTTTTGTTCTTCTAGCTATACCACAATTTCCAGAGGCTCTGCTCATTTTTCTTCAACCTTTTTTTCCTTTTTGTTCTTCAGATTGGATATTTTCTGTTGGTCTAGTATTTCTATTTGGCACTTTTATGTAGACATAAAATGTTTTGAATTAGCTGTCAACTAAATCTAACCAAATCCATTCAGCTTGTCTATTCACAACGTATTTTCCTCAATTGGGGTTATACGTTCATGTATTTTTTGCATGTCTCATAATTTTTTTGTTGAAAATTGAGTATTTTAGATACAATATTGTTATAACAATTTTGAACAAACTCTGGTTTTCCTCCTGAAAGACTTCATTTAAATTGTTGGAACCTAAACTTCATAATCTGTTTCCCCTGAGTTGTGGGTCCACTGATCACTGATGTCTCTGATAAATTCTCCTATTTTACTTTATTTTTTTTATTCTTGTTCCAAAAAAATTACAATAAATGTATAAAGTAAATATAAATTATAATATATTTTTCCTATACCAATGATGTGGCAAAATGATTCTACCTTGAAAAAGCAATCATATTGCTAATCTTCTACAAGTTCTTCTCTTGCTCTTAACTCCAAAGGAGAACTGAGAGTTGAAGAATATAAGGTTCTGATGTTGTGGAGTAGGCCTAAATAAAGCTCTTTTACCAAACTTAGGTTGGCAACATTTGGAACTAGACAGATCATTCACTTTCTAGTCTTTGCCTGTTAGAATTTTTTTATACTGTTCCTCTTCATAGTCCAAAAAGATAGCCATTACATGTTTTGATTTGTTTTTATAAAGTATTTCCATAATACTTTAGTGAAACCCTTTGATTGTAGGGAAAAGAGACTCACTAAGGGCAAATGGGGTGGGGGGGGAGAATAGCTTAGGGATGACTATAAGAAATGGAAATCTTGTGGAACAATAAAAAATGAAGTATATTGTGGCTTCATGGATAGAATAGCAACCCAGAAAATAACAGGACCAAGGCAGTTGCTCTCTATGGCTCACTTGTTCTCCCAATTCCAAACTCCCAGATAAAAAATCTGATTGGCATTGTTACAGGTTATGGGTCAGTGGTCAGCCAATGAAGTGACTACACTTGAATCATCTCCTCACCAGGGCTGATACCATGGCTAGATGCAAGATCATGAAGCATGCAGGGCTGCCGACCTCAAGTGCTACAGATACAGATACTTGGAAGCATGTCTGTTATACTTACCAGATGTTGAAGCCTTTTTCATTTTATGAAGTTATTAAATTCTCATGATTCTACTGTGTTCCAAAACACTGAGCAACCTGAATGTTTCAAATGGAAAAAATGTAGATGACCCTTATTTAACCTGCTTGACAAAGCTGAGTTTCAACTGCTTTCCCCCATACACAGAATTTTATAGCCTTAGTCCTGAATATAACTTCAAGCCAAAGTACATGCAACCAGTCCTTATCACACAGGTCCCCTCTTTCATACAGGGTTTCAGGTAAGCTCTGGTAGAGGTGAGATCCACGGCCTTTTCTCTCTTATGAGGCCACATAGCAAAAACTTCTCCTGTACTCTGCCACATATTACCTCACTTTTTCCACATTGAGCCTCTAGTCCCATCTTTTTCTAATTACTTCCCAATAAGACTGATTCCAATTTTTCATTGTTGGAAGTCAAATTCTTCCAAGGACTAAAAGAAAGGATTAATGAATATTAGCTCTCCTTAGTGCAGGAAGCTCTTCAGTAGTCCAAAGCATTGTGAAGAGTATAGTCATGACCATGATATGTATCCTATCCTCTAGGGAGAAGGTTCATACACAAATAAGTATTCGGTGGGATAGAGAGTGTTAAGTGCCACAATAACATACTAAAGCAGAAATCATCCCCTCTAGAGTCGGGTAAGGTGAGGAAATTTTCACAAAAGTACTATTGGGTAAGGTAACTATTGGTCTGGGCCTCTATGGATGGGAAGGATTTACATATTCAGAGAATGGGCTGGAGGTAGGGCACAGTCAATTCTGCAATCCTGAGCATAACTATTATTAAGCTCTAGCATTCCTTCTCAGGACCAGTTTATTCACTGCTTATTTTCCTTCATTTGCAACCTGCCTACGTTTTAACATATCCTTTGTAAAAACAAAGCGATCAATGATCAGAGTAGTTTTTGGAATTATTACCTTCACTGCCCCCACCTCCTCTATACACACCATAGAATGAGAAGAGACTGCTTCTGCTGCCCCATTTTCCTTTTGCTGCCTCTGCTAATATGAAAACAAGCATTGGAAAGTTATACAAGGTTCAGGCTGACTTCTTTCTGGGTTGGTAACTGAAAAATTCCCTCAGATTTGTGCTATTTATATTTGTTCTTGAGAATGGAACTCACCAAATTTCCTCCGTCTTTCCAATGTTTCTAACTTGCTCTGGGCTCCAGTCAGCATGAGCACTCACCCCTCCTCCTTCTTTCTAACCTTTCTAACTTGCCCTAGGATCCTCTTCCCACTTATTCCCAATAGTTAAACCCACCCAGGTGGTATAGCCAGAAGGTAAATCTTCCCCTTCTCAAGTAGATCATTTGCATTTCTATGGACCCTTGGGGTGGGAGAAAATGGTTTCTACCCTGCCCTGGAAATCTGGAATTTCAGCATTACTTGCAAGAGAAGGGCAATTTTGCAGGACAAAACTTTACCAGCAAATGAGTTAGGATTTTGAGGAGAAAGAGCACCATCTTCATAGTCACTTTGGCGGTATTAAAACGTCAGAACTTTGGAAGTGAAAATGTAGAATTCTCAAGAAACTCCCTCAGACTCCAAAAGGTGAAAGAAAATGCCAATAGGTGGATATGGAGGTAGGATAGAAAAAAGTTGTTTTTACAAAAGGTCAGATATTTAAAGCATAGGAGGAAAAAATGAGGGAAAAAGAGGTAATACATGACCTAAGAGAAAGTATAATCAGTAGAGCAAAATTGTAGAGGGGTAAGGATGACCATGTTTAGAAGCACAAGAAGAATATGAGCTTTGAAGAGAAGGGTGGACATCCCTTCTCAGCCAGAAATGATGGAAGTGATGACATGAAAAAACTGAGACTAAAGTTTAGGAAAGTTGTGTTGAGGAAGCTGATGGTGGGTGCCTGAATCAAGTATGAAGCAAAATCATTTGCAGAACTGAAAGAAGATCAACTATAGTGTAGTTTATGGATGGTAGAAATAGGACAGGTTTGGGAGAAGGGCCCTAGATAATCATCTCATCCTACTGATGAGAAAAGAAATTTAGAGAATCAGTAACAAAGCAGCCAAGGCTAGATAGCATAAATTTTTAGTGAACAACATTTTTTAATTTTATCCAGCAATGTTTGGTGGTACAGGAGCAAGTTCAAAAGAAATTTTTCAAATGAGTATAACAATTAAGAAAAAAATAATGTTGAATGAAAACGTTTTAGGGGCCATTACTCCTGGTGGATTTTAATAACATTTTAAATTACAAACACAAAATAAAAATATGAAAACACTCTTCAAACATGTGACTTCAGAAAAAAACACAAAAAGAAAAGACAATTGAAGTAAAAACATCAATTAGTTCTTGTTTTCTTCATTCCATACTAGCCTAAGGCAAGAAAACATCATTTTTTCCCTTTCATTAGGTGCATCTTCCTTTCATCCATTTTTTTAAAAAAACCAAATGATTGGTATCTTGTTAGTACATTAAAAGTGATTCTTATAAAAATTTGCATTTTACTTGTTCTGTTCTCCTATAAATAAACACTAAAAAAGCCAGAAATCAAAAGCACGATGATCTAATTTCCATGAAGGCAAAGCAGGAGACAGACAGCATTCCATGGCTCCTGGTGATTCCTTCCCAATTCAGGAAATATTTAGGGGGAACATTCACATATTCAATTGTTTTGTTCTGCAGTCCAATCTTGCATAGAATTGTTAACTAAGTTCAAATTTTACTACACATCGTGAGAAATATTTTTGCAATCAGGGTACCACATTAATAATTCTTATCTATGTTTATAATCTTCCAATACAGTAAGGTCAAAAAACAAAAAACAAAAAACAGAGCATATTATTCAAGTTAAAAGTTAGGACCATAGTTAGACATATGTAGCTGGTGCACATTAATCTGTTTCTCTCAACAAAATATTTACAATGTCCAAAATCCTATTAGCTTTTCCTGACAATAGAGTCCCTCCAACTTGGGGGGCATAACATAAACACGGTTGTCTTACTAAATAGGTTAGTATAAAAATGGAAAAATCACCATAAGAAGGAACCTAAAAATACCAGTGGCTATATGCTAGAGCAACAGAATGCTTGAAAGCTTAATATATTCATGAAGTCCCACTTTAATAGCCAGTATCTAAATATGAAAGTTATTTACCAAAAAAAGGTATTGATAAACTTACACAAAGTAACTTTAAATAAAAGCTTATTATTAAAGCACAAAATTTTTGTGTGTACTGTTTCCATGGCTCAGTATTCTTTATCAAATTTAGAAATAAACTGGAAAATACCCGGAAAACAGAATCCATCAACTGTAATCTATTTCCTTTACTCTCTTGTGAAATCATTAGAATCATGGATTGACTCTGTCATCTGTCTTTCCCCATCCTATAACCTCTTAAGGGAAGGAGCAAGTATCTGTCAAGTTCAAGTCCAGAATGCACACACAGATGGGTGTTTAATAAATATCTTTCGAGAGACTAGAGGTTTGCTTTGAGGAGTGGGGAACACATTCTCTTAAGTGTTGAGCTGATGACATCAATTACACAATACGTCAGCCTATTTCCTTACGAAAATATCATCTAAAGGAAATCCTTTTTGAGCACCCTTTAGGTAAGGCTATAAGTTTGAAGACACAAAAATTTTGGCAAGATCCACCCCAGGGAAGGGGGAGTGTTTGGGGTGACAAGTAAAATTCAGGCGTTTCAGTGACGTCAAGCAGCAGCAATTTAAGGGATAGGTGGAAACTCACCTGGAGAAGCAGAAGCTGCACACATGTCAATGGGCATAGCCTTAGGGGCTCCCCAGAAGCAGGAAAAGTGAAACGCCCACTCCTAGGCTCTCACCTTTGAGTATTCACTTAAGCCTTAAGGGCTCAACTTGTTCCTGCCTTTGACGCCAGGGGACAAACCCTACCTTTCATAGCTGGAGCTGACAGGAAGGCGAAGCAAAAGCTGCGCCAGATTACAGAGCCCTTTCCCGGAATCCCTCAGTACTTTTGCCCATTGCCTCCGGCGCACAAAGCCAGAGACACCTTCAACCTCACTCCTCACCTTCTCCAGGCCCTCTCACTCTTAACAGCATCGGTCTCCATGGCGACCTGAAACCGCAGTTCCCATTGGCCCGTTCAATAAGCGGGCCGGACCAATGGGAAGGGCCATCCTTTTCTCCCCGACCAATTGGGTTGGCTGGGAGCGGGTCCGGAGACGGCGGCGTGCTGACGTTCCCGGGAGTCCGGGGCTGACTGGGCAGGCGGGCTGGCGGGCGGCGGCGGCGGCGGCGGCGGCGGCGGCGGCGGCGGCGGCGGCGGCCGCCTCTGGGCAGTAGAGGGGGCTCCGGGGCTGAGTCTGGTGGCTGCCGGCTGCGGAGGCAGTACCATGGGCACAGGGTAGTGGCGCAAGTTGGCCACCGCCGCCGCCGGGGGTGGTGGGAGAGCCGCTTCGGGGGAGGGGGCGGGTGGGGGAGGGAGGGGCGGGCGGCCGCTTTGCCGCGGCACTTTTTTAATTTTTTCGGGTGCCGCAGCGGCGACCCTTCGACGCTGATGTCCCTCATCCCTGGAGCGACGACGGCCACTGCCTAACCTAGAAAGTAAGTGTGCGGGCTCGTGGGAGGGCGCGGAGACTCCTGCCCGCGAGAATCCCGGCCCTCGCGCCCCATTCCGGACCTGCCTGAGAGGGGTGCGGGCGCCTCCCTCCCGTTACTCCGGCCGCACCGCCTCGCGGCCGCCTAGGCTTTCCTGCCCCGCCTCGTGTTCTTGCCCGCACTCGCCTGCCTGCTCCCCTCCCCCCGGCAGGCGCACAAGTTTCACCTTCCATTTGCTTTTCCCGATGATTGCTCTTCTCGGATCTCCTCTACTCGCTACCCCTACCCATGCTGGCGTTTTCGGATCCAGAGCCCTCAGCCCCGAACTTGAGCGCCACGCGGAGCCCTCCTGGACGTCAGCCCGGAGGCTTCCCCGCTGCTGCCCGCCTGGCACGCCGCCCCGCGCTCCCAACACCCGGAGGCGCCCGCCTTTCCCGGCTTTAGAGGCCGTCTGTTTGGCCCCAGATCTTGCATCCTGACCCCCTCCTCTTCCTCCCACATCTCTTCTGCCTGCGCGGTCTTGCTTTTGCCCCCAGAGTCCCGCGCTCCTGCCAGTCCTGCCCACCCCGCTCTGTCCAGTGTGCCCCTCTCTCCTCGCGGCTAGTGCTCACGCTCCACCCCTCCTGGTTCCCCAGCCTGAGCTTCCCTGTCCTTCTGTGCCACCGCTTCCTCTTCTCCCTGCCTGGAGTTGAAGAGGACCTGCGCACCCCGCCCCCCCCCCCCCCCCTTATCCCACCCGGCGGCTCCGGTGTCCCTTCCCGGCGTTGGGACTGCCCGGCCAACACTCTCTCCTTTTTCTCCTACTGGGGAAGCAAGGGGATGATCGGCGGGGCCGGGATTCGGCTGCATGTTGGTTGGCTGAGTGCGACACAGAGCGAGTGCCGACAGTGGTGCGCCGCGGCAGCCGTGGCCGCTCCGGGCGCAGCAGTAGGCAGGTGTCTGTGTGCGGGCGGGGGGCAGGGACGCACGCCACGGGCTCTTCGGTTGGCGACAGATTGTGCAGGAATGCGAGGAATGCACCAGGGGCATAGTCCACAGGGCCCGCCGTGGCTGCTCTAGCGCCTTCCTGGCCCAGCGCCCGCCGCACAGCCGGAGGTCACCGGAGCATCTTCTGAGCTGGTGAGGCTCGCTCGACTTCTCTCCTCTCCTTGCTTCTCTCCATGCGGCAGAGAGGGCGGCGGAGGGGAAGCGCGGCAGTTCTGTTTGGCTTCCGCTAGCCTTTCGTCTCGGATTTTGCTGCATTGGTCTCCAGGACCGTGAATTTTGGGGGCGATGGCAGTGTAGCCAAGGTTATTGATCATTGCACAAGGTTCTTGGCAAGTTTGGTGTGCAGGGTTTGAATTGTGCCTGGTTTTTTTCCGAGGGGTTTCTGAAAACCTGCAGGAAAGGATGCGGAAGGTTCTTAGAGTAATGAGCCTGCAGCTCTATCAAAAAATGTCTGTTAATGCTCATGGACGGGGATGTATTGCGAAAGAGATCTTTAATGCATCACTCTGCTATCATAAGAATTGTAATTTTTTCCCTCGTCATACTGGGCTGTGTTTAGTTCTCTTATAATACATAATGAATAGAAACAGAGAAGCAGTGTTTGGTCAGCGATGGGACAGATAGAACTGTCTGGTACAGTTAAATTCGGGGCGTGTCAGTTACCATTGAAAGTAACACGGGGACAGCACAATCATGCATATTTAAAGATGTAATTTATTAGTTGAGGTCGCAGTTCTTTCTCTTTTTGTTACTGAGTTGAAAAATAATAAATACGCCCCTACAACTTTTAAAGAATGGTAATTATGTGTAAAATGATTAGTATACATTTTGATTAAATTTTATTTTTCTTAATGCAGAAAAGCAAATTTTTGACAGATTCTTTTCTTTTAAAAGGGAAAGTAGAAGACTGTTTTTCTTTTTGAATGCAGTATATTGCTATAGAAATATCTTCATTTCTGGTACCTGTGAAACAGTTAGGGAAAATGGCAACATGAAATGAGAACCACTGGTGTTCAAAAATAAGTGTTTCTGGGTGTTGAAAAGCATACTATGTGTGTGACACAGTTTGCCCTGGGAGTTGAGTTTACTATAAGCCTCTCTACACTCGGTTATTTTGTATCAGATTCAGGCATGTAATAAGTTAATTGCCCAGCTGCCTTCCGGCATCTACTTTGCTTGGATCAAGGGCATTGAAAAGTATGAGGTGAGCACCTTTTAGTTAAGGACCCACTGGAAAGGAGAAATAGAGGGGAAAGAGAAAAACCTTTACACTGAGAAAGGTTGTGTCTTTTGGCTGGTACATTGTTTTGTTTTTCAGGTATGTCCTTAATAAATGTGCCTTCTAGTTTAGAGGTTTAAACTCTAAATCAGCGATTTTCAACTAATGTGCAGCAGCACACTGGTGTGCTGCAAGAATTTTTAACACATGCAATACCTGACTATTTAGCCAGGGGCACTGACCTCTTTTCCTTTAGATTGTCAAGTAAAGAAATGACAACAGCCAGCACAATAGCCGTTCAGTGTGAATGAATCAAAATTATACCTATTTTTGTCAGATTGACAAAGTATATATTTTTGTGTGTGCTGCAGAATTTTAGTAATTCTGTGTGCCATGAGATGAAAAAGATAGAAAATCGCTGCTCTGAATTCTGGTTAGCAACGCTGTGCAGGATATTGGGAGGTGTTTGTAGATGCCAACAGGAAACTTATTATGTAACAATATATTACAGCAGAGTTTAACATGTGCTTATTTGATTTGATGTGAAGATTAGAATGTAAAAGCACATTTAGTTTCTCTGCTACATTGGAAATTGAAATAATCTCTCCGAGTATGTACATAATATATATACAGGATTGACTTTGCAAGTTGTTATACCCATTCAAATGAAGGCAGGCTTTCAGTTAGAAGTATATTTTACTAGTTATAGATATTTGAAGAGACAAAGTTTTAAGACAAATGATCATTCACTGTCAGAAACAACATAAATTGTGTTTGAACAAGTACATTACTTCCCCATCTTCCACTATGATATAAGAAGAAAGGTGTGGCATTTCATATTTTATATGTTATACTGAAGATTCTAAATGGGGGAACTGAGTGTCCAGTTGTCTTAATTCTTGTCTATACCTTTTTTGGAGGGAGATAGGGGAGCAAGGTTGTGATGGAAAGCATAAGAGAAGTTGAGTAGCAAGTGGGAGCACCTGGTTAGTATTCATCCACGGGAAAAAATGTGTTATTGCTGTATTTACAAGTTGAATAAAACAAATGTAATTCAATGACTGGTTCTAACATCATAATTTGAATTTAAAGAATCTACTACCAAACTCAGTTTAATAAAAACTTCAGCAGTTGTAACACTTTGAGTATTTGGATTAAGTTTAAATTAAGCCAGAAAAACAATTTTCTTTTTTTTTTCTGAGCTATACAAATTGGGAAAGTATATTTAATTAAAAACTTTAAATCCACATAATTTTAAAAAATTGAGTTATTGCCCATTTTAAAACTGAATGATTTCCTTGCTGTTGAGCAGAGATTGATTTAAAGCTTATTTTTAGAGAGGGGGGAAGAGAAGGAGAAAGAGAGGGAAATAAACATCAATGTGTTAGAGATACATCAATCTGCTGCCTCTCATGCCCCCACCTAAGAATCTGGCCTGCAACCCAGGCACCTGTCTGGCTTGGAATCCTGACTTGGAATTGAAGTGGTGACTTTTTCGTTCCTAGGCTGGCCCTCAATCCACTGAGCCACACCAGCAAGGGTGGGCTTGATTTAAATAGAGAATTTTCATACCCTGGATGATGCCAATTATTTTGTAAGTCCAGTCTCTCACTATAATGCTTTGAAATATTAAGATATTTTGAGAATGCTCTGTAATGTTTTTTTCCCTATTTCCATCAAAAGGTAAATCCTAAATTGCTTAATTCTAAAATGGACAACATACCTTCATACTTCACTGGAAGATAAAGTAGAGGTTATTCTAGGGCATAAACATCCATGGAATTGTATGTCACTTTGGGAGTTGCCTTCACATCTTCAGTGTATTTGGAGATAATTACTTCTTCAGTGTGTTAAAATAGTTTTGTAGTGCCTTTTCTGCATTCAAGAGGGAAGGAGAGTGTGGATAACACCAGTGGACTGGATATGTTTGGAAAATGAAGTAACTATTTTATCATCCAAACTGTGACTACAAATATTAATAGAGGAAGGGAGGATGGAACGAAGGAAGGAAGCAAGGAATGAAGGAAGGAACCAACAAACTATAAACATACCTAAATGTAAGGTTCATATACTGCCAGTAAGTGATGGTAGCAGTCAGCAGGTCAGTTTGATGGCCAGCAGTAAGAAATAACAGCTTCTTTTAGGGTAAGGAGATCACGCCTTCAGTCACAGAGAGCAATAATTCATGTGCTTGCATTCATAGGTTCACATAACTACTTTAATAATTCAGTGGAATTATGTTAATCTTTTGGGTGTTATGTTATCATAACTAAATTGGGGATTTTGCATGATGGTGGACTTTTCTTAGCAGTGTTGCAGATGTTTCATTTGCCATTGGTCTTAGTGGTTTTTTTTTTAATTTAGACTTAATTGATACAGCAATAAATGTCAGCTATATTGCTCATTTTATTTTTCATAGTCTTAATACTATCATAGTTTGTTATGGCTCCTATAATGATTTATAGCAGACCATAAAATGTCATTAGAGTTTGGATTTAAATTTCTAATACTATAAAATATATAAATTAAAATATGGAAGTGTCTGAATTATTTTAAAACATGTCCTTTTTGTGAGGTATTTTTTCCTGCTGATTGGGTAGATGCCAGTCCCTGTAGGCATATGTTATATAGTCTTCACAAAGTTCAGAACTCGAGAATGACAAGTGGGGAAGGGGGTGGAGCACCAGTAACCTTTTTTCAACAGCCAAGGCATGTTTGACTTATATAGCTATTAAATATAAATTTAGTGATTTGCAAATATTCAAGGGTGTTTTCCTGATCTTCCAGAACCTGGAGGCCCTCCCGGTCTGGTCCCCCCAACCCCCACCACACACATGCACACCACCACCACCACTGCATCTGTGTGCTTGGCGAGACAGAGGAGCCCCTTCTGGGGTGCCATTTATTTACATAGATTATAAAAGTTGGTGCCAAATGTTCCAGGTTGAATTTAGAGTGGCTGTGCTTTTTTTGTCATAAAATTATATATGAAAGTTGGTAAAATATGTAGTTGAAATGGGGCAGTCAGGGTGCAGTGCAGGCTTTGGGATCCTGGCCTGGAAGTTGGAATATAGTTTTTCATAGACACCTGCAAGCTATTTACAAATAGACTTTTAAAACACAGGGTAGGTGGTGTCTGAAATTCTGTCCACTATAAGCTCTCTTAAATTTTACTTGCGAGGGAGATGAAAAGCATCCTAAGCCAGAAATTAGAAGACCTGCTGCTAACCTTTATGACCTCGGCAAACCATTTAACATTGGGTAATAGTTTCCTCCTTTTAAAAATGCAGGGTTTAGATTACATTGATCTAAGATGTATTTCAGCTCAAGGTTCCCAGAGTGTCCTCCATGTCTTTTTCAGTTTTTTAAGAAAAATTTTCCTAGGCATTCACATATATAATCAGTCTTGTTCCCCCTCCTAACCCAAATGATAGCGAAAAAAGAAGTTGGGGTTCTCTTTTGAGACTTTGAATCTCTTTCATATTCATCTTAAATAGATTTTTTTAAAATGTCACTTTAGGAAATGAGGGGAAGGGATTAAAACAGGTAATGTTTTCCAGGTCTTTCTGTCATAGTTAGCAGTCATGTCATAGTTCAATTCTGGCATTTCTATTTACTAGGTGTGTAACTTGGTAAGTTATATCATCTCTCTAGATCTTATTTTGCTTGTAAAATAGAATAAAAGTATCCACCTCATGGTTGTTGTGAAGACTAAATGAGCTAGTACATTTAAGTTATTATTTTTATTCTTACATTATGATTGTGGTACTTAATGATGCTTTCTGTAGCATCTGCTATATGTAAGGCAAATTACTGGCTTGCTTTCTGTGATCTTAGTCAATATGATTATGAAGCTAAGCAGGATATTTCAGGGAAAAAATAAACTATTAAAGAAAAGTTATTATGAGCTTCA